GTTAATAACTCCAGTACACAGACACCTGTATGGAGAAAATGATTGAAAGATGAAGTCAAAGAAAAGGACATAAAGCTGGCAGATATAGGTGCATAAAGCATCCTAGTCAGCATCTCAGACTAGTCCCCAGCTCAGAACAAAACATTATAAGGAGCAGAGGTTCTCAAATGCCTGGATTCTGGTATGGGATAATTTTACCTAACCTAATGCTACTTGAGCTGATGTAACAAGCTTCAACCTATCCTCTAATGGAGTTTTAGATAAAAGTACAGAAATGTTACTGTTAGTAAGTCTACTGCTTATGATTTCCATGTGAGAGGATACACACACAATTTCTCAGAACTCACTATAGCCAGTTTTGCCCAGTACAGAAATATATCAGCTAAATCCCAATGCTTTTATTGCATTTATGTTACCATCATGAAAAAAACTGTTTGTCATGCTCTCTATCATTTGATGGATTATTAGATCAGAGCTTACCTAAACTTTCTTGAAATTGAACAGGAGTAAAACCTATGTGCTTTAAAATGACATCACTGCCTGTAAAAGGGAACAAGTCAGGTGTGATCTCCAACACAGATGCTTCATGTGTACAAAATGTACATGTCCCTTATTTTCACAAAACAAGGTATCCCCTGAAACAGTGGTTCTCAACATTCCAAGGGACTCTTTTCCATACCGGGAACTCCCCAAGAGCCCTCTCCTATTAGGGATATGGGAACAGCAAGGCCATTAGGATCTTTTGAAACCTGTCTGTAACCCTCACGTCGAGAGATCTGTTCTAGGAAGCATATGCTGTACAGGCAATAATACCTTACAAAGAGAAAGCCAGCTTGTTTCAACAGAAAGAGCATGCTTCACTTTACTCACCGAGAGTTGAGAAACACCACATGTTTAGAGATTTATTCATTCATATATGCATTTTAAAGGAAGAAAGGACTTTTTGGCATCATTGGCTGATATCCTGTGTACCAGAGGCCAACTGCAATGTTAAGAACAGCTCCCCTTTCTTTACTTCACTGTTCAATAAATACAGATTTTTCTACATTGAGTGTCTCAGCACTAGGAAGCTGGCTCTGGAAAGATCTTTGAGTTCTGGGTGTTTCCAGCACAGTTCCAAAACACCATCCAGCCACCCACTTAGAAATGACCTCTGGCTCTGAGGATTTAGGTAATTCGATTACATAAATGTCCCTTTTCAACAAAAAGCAGGGAAGTCTGTTGGGTTTCTGCACTCCCTCCCCTATGTCAATCACTTACCGCCTCTTTTCAAACATACTATTAAAGCTAATTATGGACAATCAAAGATGCAGGCTTTCAGTGGACAACAATGAACTAAGTCCCTTTTTAAACCAACAGCGTCATTGTCTAAAAAGGACAGTCAATCTAACCAGGAGCTTTGCACCTACTACAGTACCAAACAGCACGATGGAGTCGCTCCCACTTACCTGATTCAAATACATCAGTATACTTAATAAAATAATAAAACAATTCTTCATTTAACACCCAGAGACCTCAAAGTGCTTCATAAAGATAGCTACTGTTCATATAAAAAACAAACAAAGGGAAAACTGAGGCCTGGCTCCAAGTTACCCAACTAACTAACTGATATAAAGCAACTAACTAATGTCAGAACTAGTTAAATGAAAGGGTCCTAGTGCCAGTTGCCCCATGCTCTCTAACCATTATACTAGAACAGCAGTGCTGTTAGAAACATAGGAGGGGAAAAAAAAAACTTCCAGTTCCTGCCGGGTGAAAAAGTACAGAAGCAACCAGGGAGGGAGAGAAGTTCTAATATCTTAGAAAAGGTATAAAAACCCCAGCAAATGAAAAAGAAAAAGAAAAAAAATACTCTATCCAATAAGCTTCCTTCTCTGCTGTCTGATGCCGTCATTCTCATTCTCTCAGATGGATATATTTCTTATGCTGCTTGCATTTAACACGTATGAATGAAATAGGAAGATATCTCCAGGCACATGTAGGGTAGAAAGTTTCTGCAGAACCTGTCCCCACCTCCCCCGTAGCCTGGAATGTGAACTTCCAGGGTGAGCACATCGTGTTAAAACAGAGGTGAGCAATAATTTTTGCTGGAGACCCACACTAAGATTTGGTAATGTGGTTAAGGGTCGCACTCGTCCATATTAATAGAGGAGGTATGGGGTCTGGAATGGAGGTTGGGTGCAGAAGGGAGCTTGACGCAAGGGATTGGGATGCAGGAGGTGGTGTGGGATCTGGGAGTTTTGGTGACGGAGGGGGTTGTGACCTGGGGCAGGAGTGCAGGAGGGGATTCCGGGATTTCAGTTGTGACTGTGGTAAGGGATTGGGATACAAGGTCTGGCAGGGGGTCCACCCTGGAGGAAGGGTGCAGGATCTGGGAGGAGGTATGGGTACAGGAGCAGGCGTGCAGAGGGTTTGGATTACATCGGGTGAGGTGGGGGGAAGTTTTGAGAAAGAAGGAGTTGGGGTGCCAGAAAGAGGCTGTGGCTGAGCACCGTTTACGTAGGCATCTCCTGGCCAGCAGCCCTGCCCAGTAGGTTCCTCAGTCAGGCGGGGGCCATGTGTGCTGCTCTGAATGCTGAGAGCCTGGGGGGAGGGGTGCATTTCCTGCAAATAGGCCAGTAGGAGCTCCAAAATTATGCTGGTGGTGGGGAGGGAGAAGGCGGGGTATGGGGGGGGGGGAAGAAAGCATGTGAAGCCCCCCCTGCAGGCTTGCAGCATTCAGATTCGGCCCACAAGACACATTTTACCAGCCCTTGTATTAAAATAATAGCTCCACTAATGCAAGTCACTAAATATTCCCTTATACTTAACATCCCCCATTCTTTACTATCCACACATTAACTGATAGTGCATTTAGTAATATATATGAGCAGCAGGTGCTTAAGAACTTATGGCCTATTTGCAAGCATAACTTTTTTCCTCTCTCTTCAGTTGCTCCTCCAAAGAACTCCCCATGATCCTGGGTTTTAGTCAGTACTTCCTTTAGGGAAAAGATCCAGATAAAATGTCTCCTGTATTACCAGGATAGAAAAATCATCTAAGATTTCTATAGCTATTATTAAACTTTCATTACTGGCCAAAAATAATCTGGCTAGAAAAAAAAATGTGCAATATGTTAAAAAAGGGGGGGAAAAGGTAATTGAAAGTGATGGTACAGAGAAAATACAGATTATTCTCCTCCAGCTAAGGAAGTCCTCCTAAAATCAAACTTTTGCAAGTAATATAGCGATAGTGTTTTTGCAAGTAAAGACACTCTTGGTGCATTAAGAGACATGAGATACAACCATCAGAAAGAGATGAATTTTCAGGGACTGTTATTCCAGAATTCCAAGTAGCCCCTGGCATCACAGGCAAACATGTAATATCCCTGTTCTCCTTGCCTCAAAATCATGCTATTTCCAACCATTCATAGACTGACAAACTAAACTAGAGGATGTCGGGTTTAGTCTTGCCTTGGTGCAAGGTGAGCTCATGGGCATAATTCCAGCGTCGTTCAAAATAATTACTGACCTCTACTCCAAAAATCTACTTTTTTCCAAAAGGTGCACAAAGGAGCAATGAAAATAAATCCTAAAAAACCTAGTCTGCATAACAAGAAACCTAGGAATCATATGCTGAAAGAACTGCAGATCCCTTACCAAACTTTTCCACAGACTTCAATGGAACAAAACAAGTTCTTTTAATATGGATCCTTTTCATGGTGCTGTCAAAGTATGGCTTGTAACAATATTTTAAACAGTTTTCCAACATGTTTAAAGCTTAACCTAGTTACTTCCCGAACACAATGTTAGTGCTAAATCAAGAAACGTACAAGACAGCTTATTGCACTACTGTGACCTAGTGAAATATCTCCAGAGCATTTATCAGGATACAGAAAGATCATCAGTTTGAGCTAGCAGTTTTTATAACACACGAACTAGACTGGGAAGTGATGCACACACGTACTAGATTGGGAAGTGATGCAACCACCACCCCATAGGAAAAACAACCATCAATCATGGCTCTGAACACGATCACAGCTAACAAAGTTCAACTCTTACTACAACAGGATTATAAATCGAACGTACAGTGAGATCCAACTGTACAGTGAGATCCAGGGTCAAATTTCAACCATCATTTTAGAATGCTTTGCTTACGTAATGTACCTTCTAATAAATGAATGGTCTATTGTGCTCTACTGTTTGGCAAATAGGGTTCTTCCTTCAGTGGGAGTTTCTTTAGTTCTCGCACTAGTGTTCAAATGCTCTGCTGAAACCATAGGATATTTAAGGAACTGGACAGAAACTACCAATTCATTCTAAGCCACCAAATATCTAGTAGTTTCACCTCACCCAAGTCAGATTTGAACTGATCATCAAGAATGGAAA